GGTGTCCGCCCTTTTCCGCTGGCCATGCAGCATTTCTATTCATTTGTGTCCCAGGTCGCTGCTGGTGTCCGCCCTTTTCCATTGGCTATGTAGCATTTCTATTCATTTGTCTCCCAGGTCTGTCACTGCTGGTGTCCGTGGTGGTGTCCGCCCTTTTCCGCTGGCGATGCAACATTTGAATTCATTTGTCTCCCAGGTCTGTCGCTGCTGGTGTCCGCCCTTTTCCGTTGGCCATGTAGCATTTCTACTCATTTGTCCCAGGTCTGTCACTGCTTGTGTCCGCCCTTTTCCGCTGGCGACGCAACATTCCTATTCATTCCCCAATCAGTGTACTTTTAGGGGTTCTCAATTCTTTCTTAAAGCGTGTCCGCCCTTTCTGTCACTGCTGGCGTCCGCCCTTTTCCGCTGGCCATGCAGCGTTTCAATTCATTTGCATCAAAAGTGGTTTCTTTACTTTTGTCTCCCAAGTTCGGTGTGCCCTGCTAGTGTCCACCCTAATCCGCTGGCCATGCAGTGTTTCTATTCATATGCCTCCCAAATGATTTGTTTACTTTTCTTTTCCAGGTTCGGTGCCTGCGCTGCTGGCCTCCGCCCTTTTCCCCTTTCCAGCATTTCTACTCATTCGTCTCCCAGGTGGTTTCTGCACTTCCCCAAACAGGTTATATACTGTTAGGGGTCCTCAAGGCTTTCTAAGAGTGTCGGCCTTGCTGCGGGACAGCGTGTCCGCCTTCCGTCCAGCTTGTCTCCCTTTGTCTCCCTTCTTGTTGGTCACTGTGTCCGCCTTCTCCCTTCTGTCTCCCTTTTTCTCCGGTCTTGTCTCCCTTCTTGTTGGTCACTGTGTCCGCCTTGTCCTGTTACCTTTGTCTCCCTTCTTGTCTCCCTTCTTGTTGGTCATCCGCCTTGTCGCCATTGTGTGAGTCTTGTCTCCCTTCTGTTTCCTTTTGTCTCCCTTCTTGTCTCCTTTCTTGTTGATGTCTCAAAATGTGGACTTGGGAATGCTTCGTGGTTGTCCCACCTGTTTGGGGTCTACGGTGGTGTAATTTTTACATATTTTTACCCTGGAAGTCCAAGACGACTTTTAAAGAAGGTCTGACTAGGATTCTTCAGGCGATCCGAGAAGGAATGTCCTTCGCGTCGGTGGTGCCAAACATCGTCAACATGGACGTCTATAGGGTTACCCTCTGACTCACTAACATGGAAGTGGACAATGGGCCCCTGGAAGACTACTGTCCTCTACAAACAGGCGGTTTTCCACTTCCATGTTAGTGAGTCAGAGTGTAATGGTTTTTCTTCGCTTCTTTCCTGCTGCCACGGGCGACCAGGCGCAGGCGACCTGCAACTGGCCCGACGGCAGCGGCCTGCCGGTGCTGCTCTCTGAGGCGCCCTCGGCGCCGCCCGGGAACCGCTCCGTCCGCCCATCGACGCTGGCGCAGCGGCAGAAGGTGCAGCGCCTTGGGTTGAGAAGTGGACTGAGGACCCTTCAACAGGTCAAAAAGGATATAAATTATATACCAGGACACCCGGACCAGGGGCTTCTATTCATAGCCCCTTAGATGTTAAGGGATGTCCATTAACCACCCCTTGTGGGTCCTGGTATAGATGATATATATACAAATATCCTTAACTGAGGTTGGTGGACATGAGCAGCCTGTTGGTCCTCCGAAACACCTGGATCATGGGTCCCGTTGTGATCTCAGGTCCCGTGCCTAGGGTGCGGACGAAAGGACCTTCGATTTGGGGAAGCACCTCTTTTTCATCGGCCAGTGAGCTTAGGGCCTAGACTCCAGCATCGAACAACAGGTGGGCAGTGTGCAGCCATACACCAGAGGAATTTGGAACCTCAGAGAGACGGGTTTCGGGAGTTTTGGCTTTCGCTGCTGGGTATCTTTGAGAACTGTCCATTCCCCACCCCAAAAGCTTCGGGTGATGCGTGGCACGGAAGGGGAGGAGGTCAGGTCGTGTGAGGCCCTCTCAGCACGCAGAGAGAGCCGAACGCCAGTGAATCGGTGAGCGGGTTTTGGCACCTTCGAACCAACCGCGTACCAATCGGGGGGAGTTTCTGTGGGGATCTCCAAATCCACAGCGGCGTTCTTTTTTCCCGCTGATCAGTCCAGTGCTCATGAGGAAATACCTGCAGACCGCTGCCGAACGCCTTTGCTTGATCCGAGGCAGTCCGGTTTTTTTTGGTGGACAAGGAATGTCCTGGGGTGGTTCCATTTGCAGTGGGAAGCTGGACATGCCGCTTCTTGGGGGGGTGTTCCCCGCTTCTTGGAGGACCTGATTGGTGGGAGGAAAGCCTTCTTTGTGGCGCCTTTGTGGCGCCAAAGAGGTTTTCTGCTTCCAACAAACAGGGCACGCATGACGACCCATCCGCTCGTTTCCAGGCTTCCACACAAAGAACACAAAACTTTTGCGAAGCCCTCCCACACCAAAGGGCACGCAAACACGGCACGTGCGTCGCATGCTGGGTGCCCATCCGCCGCGCGGCGTGGCAGGTGCGGCCACCTTTAGCGTGGTGGAGCTGGAGTTCCTGATCCGCGCCGCCTTCTGCTTCGCGCGGCGACAAGAGCTGAGACGCGCTCGGCTCACACAGCAAGTGGGATTGATCACCCGAGAGGAGCCACTGGGCAGTGTGAGGGAGGGAAGTGGATCTATAGCCGATAGCCTATCCCAGATGTACAACTGTAGGGTCCCATAAGGTCTCTCAACCTCTCTTGGATCTACATGTGGGTCTTCTTTTTTCTTTTTTGTCTTTGTAACATACTAAAAGTGTTGGAATCATTCGAGTTTGAACGATTGTCCATGCAAGAGGCTTTTGCAAAGCAATCGCATGCTTGCAATCGTATTGCAAAGGATGTTGTAAGCTTCACTTATGAAAGTTCCATGAAACGTATTTAGAGGCAAGTGGACTGTTGCTAGTTGGTTGACAGTCTGTTTGCTCCAGCTTGGATGATGGGGAGGTGGCTTGTTGGATGATGGTCTCAAGACTTTGAGTTGAAACAGAGCGGTTTTGGTTTGGCCAGGTACAAAGTACTGTCCAAAGTTACCGATGATGCTCCTGCAACAAGTGTTGTGAGAAGTGATGGGCCACGAGCATCAGGAGGATGTTGTGCAATTCTTTTTGGTGGGATGTTCTATGACCACCTTCAGCCAATGCCAAACAGCACAGTTACACTCCCTGACATAATCATGGAAGTGGAAAACCACCCTTTTGGTGTTCGGAAAAAGACACGTCTTCCTTTTCGGGGCCATGCCATCGACATCAAGGAGTGTAGTCTCATGAGACCTGTCTTAGACATGGTCGTTTCCATATCATATCTAGGGAGCCTCCTGGGAACTCAGATGTGCCGGGATCGCGCTCGGCGAGACCTGTGGTGCGGTGCAGCCGTGGTGTCAAGGTCCTTCCTCGGGCTGGACGCCCTCACTTTGCTGTGGAACAGCCTAGATCTGGACGAGGACCAGGGCGCCTTGGTATGGATGGCAATGATCAGCAACCAGATAGGTCAGGGAACTGATAATGGGATCGGATATAGTTATTGGGATGATCTATTCCACAAATATATTTACACACCTACATGCGCACTGTTTCTACAAGTTGTCCACACGGGTCCCTTGTTTCTGCTGATCATTCAACGATTCTGCAGTGAAGCCTCCAAGTTTCAGCTGGGAAGTAAACGCCTCGCCAACTGGTGAAACATGAGACATCCAAGAGCGATATCTCCATTGTCGAGGCGGATCTCTATGGTCCAAGCAGACATCCATAAAAGTTGCAGGGTATTTTTTCAGTCTTGCAGGCAGGACACGCACCACTCCAGAGGAAGAATCCAAAGATTCACAGAGGTGGATCGATCCATTTCAGACACTTTGGGGCGAATCCTTGGGCCGCAAAGGATTTCTCATCCGATGGGCGGGGGCCTCCCCAGGCGACGCCTCCGCGCGGGCCTCCACCTTCGCCCGGCGCACCACGCGCTCGTCCGGAAGCCAGGGAAGCCCAGGGCGCACCACGCGCGGTTCGCTGAGGCGGTCGTGGATCGAGTCGAGGGGTTGAGATCGCCTTGGCCTTGACTGGGAGACGAGACTGGGAGACGTGGAGGTTTGCAGGAGGCGACGTGCCCTGGTACTAGGACTGGGATTCCTTCAAGTGGGGAGGGTGTCAGCCTCCAGATCACACGCCGAAGCCGCTGAGATCCCTGAGGCCAGCGTTCCGAGGAGGTCTCGGCCTACAAGCCACTCTCCGAGCGGCTGCGGTCGCGGTACCAGGCGCAAACCATTTGCGAGTCCTTCTTCAACGATCCTGGGAAGGCGGGAGGCCCCAAGTGGCGCGAACGAAGTCGGACGACTGACGGAGCTGCAGGTGTAGACTGACGGACGGAGTCTGTCGGTGGTTGGATCGGACCGAAGGAAGGAAGTTGGGAGGATGAAGACCCAGGAGGTCTAGCCTGATCAGCCTGATCCCGTGCGCGAGGTCCTTTTTTCGCATCTTTATCGATTCATCACGTAGGCCAAAGTAGGCTGGACCTGAAGCTCATGAAGCCTTTTTTTTCAGCTCCTTGAGGTTCTCTTCTTCTACAGCAGAGCCGAGTTCATCCGACAGGCTGGAGAGACCGGTCGAGGTATTTGGGAAGATGCCTGCCTGAGCCAGGGTGTGTGTGCAAGAGGCAAGACCATACAAAAGCTCTGGGGTGTTTGAGAATGGGTGATGGAAAAGGTGCACCCGGTTCTTCTATCTTCCACATACCCCATCTCCAGCTTGTTCTCCGCACTTCGACGTCGGCTCGGAGCAGCAAGACCGAGAGGCGGAGCTGAAGAAGACCAAGTCGGCGGAGCAGAACCGCCTTTCGACCATTCCCACGGAGAGGCCCGGGACATCCGGAGACACCCGGAGACACCACCCGATCCTCGTCGCCCCGCCTCGTGGCCCAAACGAAGAGCGGAGCGGTCCGGGCGAGAGCGGAACCCACCGAAGCATTGGGGGCTGAACTCCATGCTGCTCGTCCACCCGCCCCCCCGGCCCCAACTCCGGTTCACGTGTCCCCCACAGGTCCCCAACGAAGCCCGCCGATGTTCGGGCTGCGGCAGGGCGGCCGCGCTGGACTATGTGTGGGCACTTCTGCACTACTTGGGTGCCGTGGCCTGTGATGTGGGACGGGGCAAGGGGGTGAGAGCTCTCAGAAGCAGTGCAGATCTGAGCCCCATTCGCATGTCTCAGGGGAGCCAGCTCGCAGAGAGCTCCACTTGTCCACCTTGCAAGCAACAAACGTACTAATTATAAGCATGAACTGTGAGCTAAAACCATGGATTCACCTACCATTCCTTCAGCATTCCGCCACACACTTGGAGTGGTCAGTTCAGCAGATGAGCTCTACATGGGTCACCTTTGCATGGGTCTTACAGAGCTTCTTTGCCTTTGGTACCCGTGCCCCGACCTTCGTCGCCTCTGAAACGCGATTCGCCAAGAGACCTCCCCCTTTCGAGGTTGCGGGTAGGACTTGAGCTAAAATTGCTACGATAGGTTCCAGGTCATTCCCATCGTTTGGCTCTATTTTTCCGGAGCAACGCGACGACGGTTGGTGCCCAGCCCAGCCCCACCGCAGCAGCCGACCCGCAGCTCCGAGGCCGCGGGCTTCGCTCGACGCTCCGCAGGCGGTGCGACCGTGCGACCGTCTCGGTCGGTTGGGGTGGGGTGGCGTTGCCCGGTCTGCGACGAGGCTCGGAGACAGGGAGTTTGGCCTGTTTTGGGCGGGGAAACCCGGTCCATCCAAGGCACCTGTCTTGGCTCTGCAAAAGTGCTATACACCTTTCAGGCACCCTGAATGGTCCAGTGCTCATCAGCAGTCATCCTGAATGGTTGGTGCTCCACATCACCTCCAGTCGACCCTGCTTCGGACTCAGCTTGCGGCCGTCGCCGACGCCGCCGTCTCCGACCGTGGCCGTCGCCGCCCATGGGAGGAATCAGGTCGAGTCCACTCCCAGCTTAGCACCTCGGATCCGGACGGAGCTGCGTGGACCGTGACCGGGGCTGTGGAGGACTAGACATAGACACCCCGCCAGACATGGCATTCTTTGTGGGTCACTTCAAACCTTGGAAAGCCAGGGGGAGTTGCAAGCTCGAGTGAAGTTTGGACACGGGCTCCTGCCAATCGTTCTTCAAACTTCGCAGTCCAGCTTTGGCTTGTCTTAATCCGACTCCGATTCAATATCCATTACTCCGGGTTTTTGAGCTGACACTGAGCAGGGGGAAGATTCTTAGACAGGTCGGTGAGTTTTTAATCGCCCTGCGGGGAATTCATTTCTCATGACGAAGTCGCCCCAAGAATCATTTTGAGATATTTTAAGGATTTTGTGCTGATCCGATGCTTGTTTACATGGACACATGGAATTTTAAAGTTTACATGGACACATGGAATTTTAAACGATGCTTTCATAGAACAATGCCTGCAGAAGCCCATTGTAAGCAATGTAAAGACAAGCGAGTGATTGGTTCTGGGGTTCCCTCCTCTTTACAGCATGCAAACCTTTGTTAGGGGTTTGGACTTCTGTTGCCCCATCTTCTGGGTGGCTAGTGCACTTCAACATCGGTGGGTCAGAATGTGGGTCTCCATGGGGAGACCTTTCTATAGATTCTATGTCTTTCGACATCACCTGTTTTTTCTTTGGAAAACCAAGTCATGTGATGTCTGTGATTTCCATTGGATTTTGGTCCTTTTTTGCTGGACTCACGACTCCGTGGCGCCCACTCAGGAACGCTCCAGCGGTGGAAGTCGAAGAGGCCGGACGTTCGGAGGTGGCCGGATGTCGGTCACAGCCCACCGGCGACTAGTGACGATTGATTTCGATTTATGGCTGTCGGCGGTCTGCAGTTCAGCCTCCAGTTCGACCTGTTGGAAGGTGGGACAGATGGTTTTGTTTTTGGTCGACCATGGAGATATGGTGGGGAGAAACCAGAGGACTTCAAGATAGAAACGATGTGCCAGGCATTTTCCAGCATCAGGGAAAGGGTGGTGTATTGTATGGACACCCCTGACTAGTATTTTCCATCCAATAACCACCGCTTCCGTGGTGCTGGTTCAACGGGGATTCACTTGAACATACTTGAACTATGATTTATGGTAGATAGAACTGGTGAAGGTGTCCTAGCTGTAAGTTACGAGGATATTGGCCGTGCTTCTCTTGCATTTGGGGTGCAGATCCTGCGCTTTTCTGTTCAGCGCAGGCCACAAGCTTGCAGCACAGTCGTAACTGCCAGGGCACTATTCCTGTGGCATGGACGGCAAAAACGGCTGCCGCCACACGGCTGTGGCATGGAACTGTTGCCGCACATCTGCCAAAAGAAACACCTTCGAAGCTGTTCCCCATATAGGCGATGCTCTTCACAACACCTTTGAAGCATCGCGCCTGTGCAGACGCACTGCTCTGGGTTTCGGGCACCGGTTGCAGTTGAAGAAGGGTGGACGGCTCCTACGAACTTCGCCTTCAAGCATGAAATTCGACGGTCTGTTTGCCTGAGAGATTCTTCAAACCACCTCAACAAAGCATGGGGAAATCACGTCGCAGATCTATTGATGCTGTCGAGTGACCTCAAGCTGCCTGAGAGACCAGAGGCGCCCCGCAATTCTTGGACATCAGGCTTCAAGTCGAAGAAGAGACATGACCAATAAGCATCGTACCAATAAGCATCGCGTCAAAAGAAAGTTGTGCGAGAGAAACTTGCGTTGACGCAAGTTCCGGAACGCGTCCGTCCACATGTAAAACGCATTCAGTTCGAAAGCAATGTCCTTATGACATATAGACTCATAGATTAAGATGTCCAGATGGTCGCTCAAACGCTTGAGCACGGACTTGATGGTTTCAAACAGATCCTTTTTAGGGAACCAACCGATCTCCCTTCCGAGGTAGGTTCAAATAAGATCGAGCCCCCCCAAAAAACCATCACACCGCCTTCCATTTTGTAAAGCTGTTTCAATATGCCTGGATCATCCGTCGTGGGTCACCCACAAAAACAGATAGTGGCTCGGTGTCCGCCTTGGACGAGTGGAGAATCGAGGACTTTTCCATCTCGACTGGACCTCCAGACACTACACAGACAGGACCTCCAGACCAGGGACCACCTGGTGGCATCCTGTCCATGCCCCCCCCGCCAGGCCGCGGGAAGAGAAGCCATGTGATGGGAGGTCTTGAAGCTTGGCCAGGTCATGCCAGGGTTTGAACATGCAGAGAGGTGGCCGGTGCCCGTAAATAGGACCCGTCACCTGGGGAACCCAACTGGGATAGCCGAACTAGGGTCCTTCAGCCTCTGTTGGTGCTTCTTTCACCATCCCCAGCCAGTCCGCCCAGCGAGCACGCAACAGTCCAAACTTTTGCACGAACGTCCTTGAAAATTGGGCGATGCGGTTGAGAGAGGGGCAGACAGGGGGTCTCTTCGAAGTTCCGTGCTGCTTCGGTTCGTGAGTTGCCCCAGCTTTTGAAGCGTTTCACAGGCACCATGTTCTCCGCGCTTTGGGTCTGTAAGCCGTGCGTTGGCTTCGTTACGCGTCGTGGCTGTTAGGATGTGGAACCCATCATCCAAGAGATGTTCAACGAGGAGACCTTCGCACGCGGCCTGGACCTGGAGGCTGCCAGGGCGTGGGGACCTTGAGGGCCACGGCCGATGGGGAAGTCTTCGGTTTATCAGCGCAGTGGTGGCACTGGTTTCAGGGCAGACTAGAGTCCTTCGGAAGCAGGGGTGTGCTAAGTTATACATAAGCCGAACTGGGCGTCTCTGGTGAAGTCTTCAGTGCCACGAAATCTGGGACTTCGATGGGCTTCGCTGGCTGGGCAGGATTTCCAAATGGGCCTCATGATGGTGGAACACACCAAGGTGGGCGGCGAATTTCGCCCGCGGTCGTCGAACAAACGGCGGATGGAGGACGTAGAAGGTCATGGTTTGGTGCCAAGGAAGGTCATAATCAAAACCCATGGGCCATGGGCCCAGGGAGCTCTGCAGTTGCCATTGTATTTGTTCCATGGTTTTCATCCCTAGCTTTTGTCTGCTGATCCATTGTCCACCAAAGAAGATGTCCTGTTTTTTTTTTATTTAACCTTTTTTTCTCCGCATGTTTTCGCATGTGTCAACAATTGTTTTCTCTGCAATTTGCCCATGTGCTGCTTCCAGATATGTGGTGCGTGTGCTTGAAGCACCTGGGTGTCCTTCCATCCATTGTGTTCCGGCATGTTCCCAAAGAACCCTTTATAGTTGTCCGCGACGCCGCGCCAGTCGACCCGCGCCGGTCGACCGGCCCCTCCTCCCCAAACAAAAGGGGTCCTAGGACCGCTTCCGCCGCCGGAGCTCCCAAGGACTTGGAGCTGAAACAGCTACAGGACCTGAGAATCAGATGGGTGTGGAGGATGGATGGACCCAAAGGAGACGGACCACTCAAAAACCCCCACACCCGGCGGTTTCACCCGAGGAAACCGAGACCGTTCTACTAGTCACCGATGGGGTCGCGCCTGAGGGGGAGGGGTCGGTGAGGAGCTGGGGATTTGAAGGGGGTTCGGTGTGCGTGCGATGAGCTGGCGAGTGTGGACGACTTTTTTGGCCTGAGTTTGAAGACGTCAAGAAGAACATGAGCAAACATGAACCTTTCCGACATGTTTTATCTTTTTTTCTTTTTTGGGCACTGCTTGCTGCAGTCGTAGAAAAGCTGCGTTGGGCTTGAGCGACCTGTTCTAAAGTTGTCCTTCATGTGTCAAGATGTACTGATTTCTTGAATCAACACTCGAACCAACCTCCACTGCCGCTAAGCACCAGGATGCCTTCCACGACCGCTGGTTCCAGCAGAGGCACGGGCGACGGGCGGTTCCGGTCCGGCAACGTTTCGCCCGTCCGAACGACTGGCCCTTGGCCTAGACAAAAACGGTCATACCCTGAAGATCCACGAGGTTCCAATAGGTTCCATAGGTCTACGCCGTGGTTCGCCTCCCTGTTGCTTCCGGTCCCCGGTGAGTGCGGAAGTTGCGACTTGCTAGGTCTAAACTGGACCCGACCGTCGGTCCAAGGGGGGCCACCTTTCACCCCCCTGGACCAGCACCTTCGGCTTTTGCGCTGGGCGGCGCGGCCGAAACCGCCCCGGTGACGCCCCGGTGCGGTGCTGCAGCGACCCCACGCCACCAGCGACCCCGCAGTGCAGAAGCCGGTGAGGCTGGTGGTGGAGCATGAGTTGCGGAAGCAGCAGGGCGACCTGAAAGATCAGGCCGTGCAGGCGGGAACGAACTGTGTTCTGGGAGCCAGGGGGGGTCCAGTCCACCTTCCAGTGGTGGAGGAGGGACCGGAACTCGCTGAGTTTGGGGGTGGGCCAAATGATCACACCGCTTCTGAAGAGGCATGAGACATCAAAAGTCATCAGGATCATCATTGCCTGGTTCTTCAAAGTGACCTTTTTCTCCCAGGGCTTGAGGTCACTAAGAAGCTTGTTATTGTGTACTAGTATATTGTTGCTATTGTTATTACTAGTGTCATTATTATGTTGTTTTATATAACATTGTTATTAGCATCATTGGTTATTGTTGAATTGTTGTTGTTACCATTCTTCATCACTTGCACCATCATCCGCTGTACATGACTGCACAGCACTGACCCGACCAGACGAAGTGACATTGCCACCGATGGCCAGGTCCGGGTGAATGAGGTGGTTCCACTTCGCTTCCATCGTCATGCCGAGTGGACACAAGTGGAGTCCACCTACATACAATCCCGAAAACGCTGGCGGTTGGGGGTAGAGTTGCCACACGCCTGGCTTGTTTTGCCGTTGAAAGTGGACCATCTCAGGCAGAGGCGGACGAAGACATGTCAGAGAGCTTGGCACAGGACGCCGGAGGAAGGGGGGGAAGACATGTCAGTCCAATGGTTGGGCTCGGTCGCCCTTTTTCTGCTGGGTGACCGGGCAGTTTCACCGCATTTTATGGGAGTTGATCATACAAAATCCCTGCTCAAGGAGGTTTTCAGCTGGAGGGTATATCGATGGCCCAAACTTGTGAAATGCGTGTACTTTTATATTTTTGCATTTTCCAAACCATGGCAGAGACCCAACGCTGCTGATTCGGTCTTGTCATCCAGTGAAGGGTCTTTTTCCTTGTCCAAAAAAGCGACCCCTGTTTTGTGGCGTGAGCAGCTGGTCCTTTTTTTTTTTGGGATTGGAACGATGCCACGGTTGCTCCCTTCTTGCAGATGTCAATCGTTGACCCCACTCGACCAGACAAGGGATCGAACTCACTCACCTCACATCCGCCATTGGTTTCCACTGTTTCCTGGTAGAGATTGGTTTGTCCACACGTGCGAAGCCATGGGACGCACGATGATCGTCCACCTCGACGGATCAGCGGGTCGCTGGACGGATCAACGGGTCTCGACCGCTTCGGAAACCGCTTCGAACGTCTCGGAGGATCTGGGGACGGCGTTCGTTTCGGGAGCAAGAAGCTACTAGGAGCAAAGGGCATCGCTACTAGGAGCAAGAACGCTACTGGGGGCTCCTGGCCGTACTAC